TCTGGATGTAATCATTCAAGCTGTGTTTTTCTTCTTACACAGTCTGTTTTACTTGTAGGAGTCCTCAACCACCCTCTGCTCTTGGTAGATATAATCGGTCACCATCACTTTTAGGGTGCAAAGCATGATTCATTGTCATAAGCTTTCTTGTTTTTCTGTCCAAATTGTCCAACTCCATCTGGGTCCAGTCAATTATTCCTGCAGAGTATCGGATCACAGGTACAGCCCAAGTATTTATGGCTTTTATGATGTTTCCTCCACTCAATTTGGACTTTAATATCTTGCGAATTCGTTGAATGTACTTGGCTGAGGGAAATCTGGATGTTTGTTTATTATTATTGTTGCTGCTGCTACTGCTGTTGCTGCTACTGACAACAACAGATTTAATCTTCACTTTGATTCACAGTCTGGGACTGGTAAAAACAGTTCCAGTCCTAACTAAAGCAGTTCCAAGTAAGGTGGCTTTTTGCAAAGTCGGAATATTTATCAGATGTCATATTATTATCATTATTATTATATCCTATATTACATATAAGATATTTAGGAGGTTTACTACCTGGAAAGACAGCACATAAATGTATAATAAATAAAGTCCATGGTTTTGTGAACCAAGGAGCAGCCTGCATTACAACTTCATCTTCCTTGTTAATACATCATCAGGCCAATGTGCAATAAAATTTGAGAACCGAAATTCTAACTCTACTGCCATCTAATGGTCATCCAGATTTTTACTGGGCCCTTCAGGTTAAGTTGACATAGGAAACTAAAATGGTCATTGCAGTAAACATCTTGTACTTTTTGGGAAATGGTTAAAATAGCTCCATCTTCTGATTAAACCCTTGTTGAACTCTCTGTGGAAAGGGAGTTCCCAAAATGTATATGCACTTTAAATATCAGACACTTGGTCAATATTGCCCTATCATATTGGAAGAATGCTGTGTTATGTTATGACACTACGATGTGTGCCAATGTCGCTCCTCCTATGCCTTGCCATTGACATATCGATACATGCAGCTTTTTCCCAATCAGGTGTATGACTGCTGCATTAATTTAGCAAATTTTCCCCTATGAGATCATTCTTCTCCAATCTGATGTCTTTTAGAGTATTACTGCTCCCAGAATTAAGGTAATTTTGGAAGTTGCAATCTCAAAACTCCTGGAGGGCATCAGATGGGAGCTTGTCGCTCATGTCTTGCCATTATGGCTCATCTCTTATGAGAAATCCTCTCCTTTAAATTTCAACCAACATATAGAATGTCTAAATACCTTTAGACAAGCCTTTAACGTTCAGATTCCCTACTGCCATGATACTATCCTGTCTTTCAATGAGGCCACTTGACTGTTATAAGGAAGATGCTATTAATATTTAAGATGAGCTATATAAATAGTAGGTATCATGGTGAGGCACATGCCTTTAGAAAACAGATGGAAATTGTGCTACTTTCCATAAGTCACACTTTCATAGTAGGCGCTGTCCAAAGCATGCTTTTGAAAAATGTGTTTATTCTAGTTCAACTGGTCTGTACTAAAAAGGGAACCAGAGTGGGCAGATAACAATAAACCACTGGTTTCCCCTGTCTTCAGTGGCATACATTCCTCTGAACCATAAGTACAGTACACATTGTTTCACAGTGCCTGCCTTCTCTTACTCAGCAATTGCTCTAGACTCTCCCAGGTCTCAGTGAAGTGAGTAACATCCCTTAAGGAAGACCTGATTACAATATGGGACCTAAATCTAAGTGCAGGAATGCAGCCAAAGGAGTGTTGCTTCACAAGGCACATGGCATTTAATGAAACTCTTGAGCAGACAGTATGGAACATAGGGGTAGACAACTTGTGGTGTTTTGGACTACAATTCTTACATTCCCTTGTCATTAGCAAGGATACTGGCGTTGATGGGAGTTCAGATCAAAAATATCTGGATGTTACTAGGTTGGCTACCACTCTTTCACATCATTTCAGAGAGGATAACTCTATTTTGATTTATTTTTAAAAATGGGAAGTTAATCTTCTCCAGATATGCTATCTGAGTTCAACTCCAACAGTTCTTTCATTAGCACATCAGGAAGCTACCAGCTGAGAAAAGACAATAATGTTGTCTAGGAAGAGGGAGAAGCAATGTTTGCCTGCAAACCAGGAAATAGCTGCTCAGCTTTTGATGAGGTACAGTTTGAAAATTCCTGATCCTGGTTTGTCTTTACATCACAGTTTCTCAACCTCAGCAACTTTAAGATGGTTGAATTTCAGCCACCCAGGAGCTGAACTCAACTCTCCAGGCAGCATGTTTTAAGATTATGGGTGATATTGATGAAAGCTGCTTTAGATTAAGAATAAATCCTTGCAAAGATCATTTTAAACACCACTTTCAGAGAGGCCAAATTAGCATAACACAGGATTTGATGTCCATTTGCCAGAAATAAATTCATTTCCTCCAGGTGCTCTAACACTCCACAGTCACTTACTGTGTGATATTGGTCAGGATTATAGACATGTGAAGTATGAAACACTTGGGATGCTACAATACTGCTACCCAAAAAGAGGGCTGTGTATATAGTACTAATCTCTACCATAGACTGCTACTTGTATCACCAGCCAACCTGATGGGATTTGGAATTCAACTGATAATAGAGATCCAATATCTTCCATTTGAGCACTTTTTTGACAGCATGGCTGGCAGCACAAAACTATTGGGTATCTCTGTGAATAATGATCAAAAATATTATCAAAAAGAATCAGTGATTTTTCAAAACAGGATGTTTGCTACTGTAAGGAGGAAAAACTCAGTAGAAAACGGTTGTATTGGAGAAGGCCCATTATTATTCTTTTTTAAAAATATTCCCCAACAAAAATTATCTTTATTTCGGGCCCATAAAGTACAATACCTGGGAATTTGGCTTACAGAGAGATGTTCCTCCATCAAAGTAGATAACTATATGAAACTATTACAACAAGTATCTAAGGATATGATTAACTGGAGTGGTAAACAATTGTGACAGTTAAGACACATGTACTACTGAAATTTCTGTTTTTGTTTCAAACGGCACCAACTAAATTGGACAATTTTAAAAAAAAAATCCTTGGAGATAATAGTGGCTTGATTTATATGGCAAAGCAAGAAAGCACGGATTAAAGCCCAAATGTTGCAAAAATGTAAAAAACTGGGAAGCTTCGGAGTACCCAACTGGGAAGCATATTATAGTGCAGCAATTATGACATGGGTGAAGGATTGGGTGATGTTGAGTAGAAGGCACTTATTGGCTATAGAGGGACATGACCTCCCATAGGGATGGCATGCCTCCCTCTGTCAAGAAAGAGATACCCCCCATAGGTACTTCATGGGAAATTATATTCGGAAGATTTTGAAAGGGATGTGGGAAAAGGTGAGGAAAAAGTACTGTCTTAAGGTTCTGTGCTGGTTGGCACCGTTGGAGGCCTTAACGCATCCCAGTGTATTTAATTGGACAAGAAACATAATATATAAAAACATTATGACAGAAGATGGCAACATGAAAACAAAGATGGAATTAGAGCAGCAGGACAGGAATCTGGAATGGTGGGAATATTTACAGATCAGAAATAGGTTTAAAAGCGATAAGGAACAGTTTGGGATCTACCCAAACCTTCAGGAGTTGGATATGATTTTGTTTGGCGGAGACAAAGAAAATGTCAAAGATCTATAAATTTTTGACCTGTCAAGGTGTTAAAGAGATGGATAAAAGCCTTCTAATAGCATGGGAGATAAATTTTGGCTATGAGATTGAAATGGGTAAATGGTGGGATCTATGGAGTAAGAATATTAAACTCACTATATCTACAGCATCTAAAGAAAATATATACAAGATGGTTTATAGATGGCATTTTCCCCCAACGAAGTTAGCCAAAATGTTTCCTGGGTTATCCCCATTGTGTTGGAAATGTGAAAGAAGGGATGGCACATTCTACCATGTTTGGTGGTCCTATATTGAGGCCACGAAATACTGGAGGATTCAAAACTGGCTAAGAGAGGTTACCGGAGCAAGTATGGAATGGAAACCAGATTTTTTTTACTAAGCATAAAACCAGAAAACATGAGTAAATCTATATGGCATTTGAGCCTACATATAATTGTGGCTGCAAGAATAACATATGTGGAATTTTGGAAATCTACTACCATACCATTGGAAGATGCCATAATTAAAAAGATTTATGAGTGTGCAGAAATGGACAGAATGACGGGTTGGCTGAGGGACAAAGGAGAAACGGAACATTATCTTAGCTGGAACCTATGGTATATGTGGGCAACAAAGAGAACAGCAGGGACTTAAAAATGGGAAAATTAAATAGCAGCTGTTAACTATGGGAACTAAAAGTGAACATGGGTATTGTAATAGATCCCTGAATTTTTTAACAAGAAGATGCTGGTTAGAGACTAAACAATGAGGAAGAAAAGAATGTTGGGCTGTGAACGACTGTGGGGGGGGGGGCGGTTGTAGGTTTAAAGCTGTATTTGTATGTCTTATTAAAATAACGTATAACCAATAAAGATTATTTTTTAAAAAATATATTTATTTCAGCACGACCTTTTGCCAACCCTATTTTGCCAATCAGTTGGGGGGGTACGACGACGAGCAGAGCTTATTATCACACATCATGTTAAAGCATCACGTTTTTCATGGATATTCCCTCTTTTCACGATGTGTATGTTTGAGCTTCAACAACTTTGATCTCTTCGGGCAAGCGGGCACGACAAAAATAAGCAAAGTCACTGTTTAGGGATGAAGCGTGATCAATAGCTGCGCAAGCGCAAAAAAAAACTGTACGGAGAAACTACAACTCCCTGCCACCCTTGCGTTCAAGTCCTGTAAAGCAGCCCAGTGCAATGTGCCTGCTGTTGCTGCAGCATTAGTAGAAAGTGTGTCACTGGGACACGAGGCTCTCCCTAGGAGTCACATGGTGGATGTTCCTGAGCCGCGTGCTGGTGTCTGCGCAGCTGCAAGGAGAGAGTGAGCTTTGGCAGAGTAACATTTTGCAGGCGAAGGGAGAGGCAGCGGCATAATCGAGCTCCCGGCTGGCGTGAGAGAATCTTTGCACGCGCAGCCAAGCTCCAGTTCTTTCCAGTCTGAGTGCTGGTGCAAACTACAAAGTTTAAAGAAGCAGGTTGCTACCATCCCGTTGCAAGCTGAAGTTCTTTTGCATTGCAACATAACTTCGGGCAGGGGGGAAAGAAGAAAGAGGAGGGGAAAGAGAACCCTTTGCTTTCCTCCCTCCTCACCAATCGAATCTCAACTCGCATCGTCGCTTGATATGAATGACAACTATCAGCTGAACAGGATGGCAACTTTGGATGACAACAACAACGCCCCAGGTAAGCCCCCGCTTTTCATCTTTCGGATTCCCGCATCGATTTAATTTTCCTATACTAAAAAAAACCCGGTGATTTAACGCTCATCATTCACACACGTACCCTTTGATACCCGTGTAGGACAAAGTCCAGTCTCGGAGCTCAGCCTCCTCCGATATGTTTTGGTTTGTGCACCAACTAACCGTGGTCTGTTTTATCAGCATAAAATGGAAGGATAGGCAAGGGTCTCACACACACGCACACAAAAACAGGGCGATTATGAATGAAGTTGCTTCTGAACCTCATTAACTGTACATGGGATAAAAGAATCTTTCCTAACCTGCAGCCCCACAAAATATACTTTGGGAAGTTGGAGGAAAGTCAGGGGGGAAAATCGCTTAGATCTTTTCTTCTACCGTGTTCTCGTCTCCCGGGCAAAGATCATTTCATTTGCCACACGTGCACTGTGGCTCCCCCTTGGGGATCGGTAGAAAGGGAAGTAAAGTTTAGATATCAGTTTTAAGAGAAGCGGAAAGGACTTGGGTCACTAATAGTCGCAGGGCAACGCCCTTTCTTGTCCTTTGAATGGAGTGGCAGATGGCAAACGAGGACAGTCCGGAAGACAAGGAAGCTGTTTTGCTTCTTTTTCAATGAACTTTCGTCTAAGAGAGTCAGGAAATTCGTAACCTCTCTCGATATTCCCACCTGGCCGTTGTGTTTATCGCCCTGAGAGATCGCTCCCGGGGATCTTCCCCTATTGGCGTTGCCCCCTCTGGAATCCCATCCTTTTCTTTGGGATTCCCCCACTGATGGACTCACGTGTCCTGTGTTCGGACTCAGCCACGTGCAAAGTTTGTTTTCCTCACCGGCCCCGCCCCTGCCACCCATTGGCCTATCCCGCCTCGATTGCATCTTTAGTCACGCCTGTTTTCGAACGTCATCGTTCAGGAAGAAACAGTGCCCTGTCTCCTCCCTCCTGAGCGGGCGTTCGGGGTGGTTTTTGCTAGTGGGTGGAGGAGGAATCGGAACCAATGGAGAGCGAGGGGCAGGGCAAAGCGTGAGGGGCGGAGCTGGGGCGAGAGAAGAGGCGGGGGGGGGGGCATGTGCCAACGGGACACGTTGAGGAGACTCGTCCGACCTGCTAAACTTAATGTCGCGTCTCCTATTCATTAAACTGGGCTCTAAGGTCTTTGGGACATACGAAAATTCTGGTTAAATCATGAGGCCTGTCCTAATGCCAACTGCGTGAGTTGAACCTGCCTGTTTTCCGCGTTTTGGGATGTGCCGAAGATAAACTAAAAATTAAGTAATGCGAGTATGCCAACCCTTGAACATCTTTCATTCTGGTGGTTCCTCTTCATTTTATTCTGAGGCTTATTTATCCACCCACCACCGCTAACCACACCAGGTGGCAGCCCCTAGCTAACCTTGATTAATTGTATAAGAGGCTGACAGGAATTACCTGCACTGTAGACTGGATAGGGAAGTTAAAACCACACAAACACACACCTTTATGTATTTTGGAAGAAGACACTGATTAGCTGCTGTAAAGCTGTGGAGGAAAATTTATGAACAGCTGCAAATAGCTGAACTTGATGCAAAAACCGATGTTGCTAATGTCATCACAGTAGAAGAGAAATGGGGGGGGGGGGACTTCCTCAGTTATCCATATTGCTGAATTTCTTTAGAAATCAAACCTGTTGGTTTATATATTAACCTAAAGTGCACTTGGATATGTTAGGGTTTGGTTTTCAGAGGTTCACTTTAACAAAAATGGTTAAAGTGTTTAGTGTTCATTTCATCACAGGGATCTTTCATATATCATAACCTATTAATATATATATTAATCTGTTTCAATAAGTGATCAAATTCCCCTCTTCCTGCACTGTGACGCCTTTATATCCAAAGAGGTGTTATGCAATTTTATTATAAGCTTTCCATTGAGTCTAATGTCCACATGAAGTGAACAAATTGACAAACTCTAGCTTTGCATCTAAGACTAACATGTTGGCAATGCTCCAATATTATTTACAGCCACTCCCAAGCCTCCACTTGGGTAAACTAGTGACATATATTGCAAACAGACATGACACACCTTTCCCTTCTTCAGACCCATTTGGAAGTTCTCCAGCTTGATGTTCTCTTAACTTCCAGTGCTGTCTTGTGCCTTCAAGCATTATTTATTCTCTATGACTCACCTGGGATGGTCTGTTTTAATATTCCTGGGAGGGACAGCTGCACATGTGCATAGCTTCCTCCACTGGGATTCCCTGCTCCACCCTTCATGGTGTGATCTGGCAGATTTTCAAACATTGCTGCTTACCTGTTAAAAATTAGGAAGGAAGGGTGTTGTAAAGGAGAGGATATAGGAGCAGAGGAGAAAAAGGCCCTGAGCCTACAATTTGGCAGCAGCTCCCTTAGATCCAAATCAGAGACATGATGATGAAGATATTTGCCAAGAGAATTGGTTGTTTTCCAGGTCTCTGCAGCCCAGCAGTTCTTAATTCAACTAGATGCTGTAATTTAAACTGTCTTCGTCCTTGTTTGTCCTTGGTAACTTTCCTGGTCGTTGTGCTTAAATTCAGAGATTGACTAAAGTTCCAGATTAATACTGGGCTGCATGACATTTGGAAAAGTCTAAACTGGGAATAGTGAAGTTGTTTCCAGAATGTTTATTGTCTTTAAAGTTACTGAGAATTTCCTTTGGCTGCAGTGCTGTAATTGGTGCTTTTTTTTCTGATAAGGAATGTCCTTCGTAAGTTCCCACCCATCTCACTTTTTGCAGTCTTCAGATTCCATTTGATACCCAGATTGCCATTTTTATTTTCTGAAGCTGCAGAAGGAAAAAAGAGATCTCTCGTTTTCCCACTTACTCTCATTGAAACCTAATTTCTGTAGAACCAATGGTGAATTAGTGCATAAGTAGGTTGCCTCTGGCTCATTTTATAGGGAGAAAAAGTCCCTTATACTGTAATGCAAGAGGTAGAAATGAATGTAAGGATTTGGGGACATTATCCCATTTCTTTAGCCCCCATCCTGATCTTTCCTGTTTTCTAAGAAGATTAAGTTCTAGATTAGAAGTTTACAATCTCAACAGGATAAGGAAGCCAGCTTCCAAGTGTATTGAGGACTATAGGATAGTTACTAGAGATCTTTTTTAATCTAATGGGTATCTGGGAGCATAAGGGAATGTCTCTTTGGGAGGCTGTGTGCCTGAAATGAATTGATACTATCCATAACACTAGAACTGGAGGTGCGGGCAGTTGGTATTTCAGATTCAGGAAATTTAGTAATTAGGAAGCACAGAAAATAAAATAGGTACAACTTCTAAAAGATGCCTGGGCATTTAAAAAAAAATTTGCAGGAAAGTATTACAGAAGTCTTTTTTCCCCTTCTGGAGAAGGATTCTTCACTATAGTCCCAGTTTTGGGTGGAAAATATTTTGTGGAGGCAGTTGGGGTGAGAAGTATCTCTCTTTATGATAATAAAAAATAGTGTAAGTTTAGAAGACCTTAGCTAGGAGATCTTATCTAAAGTTTTGTGACATCTTAACCTTTTTTTATAGGATGTGATGGCTTTATAGAGCAGCTGAGCATAAGTGGCAAGTTCTAGCAGTTCAGTCTTCTCAAATGTGATGCATTTCAGATATTTTGGGACTGCAAACCCAGAAATCCTTGCCAAGACCACAGTTTGGGAAAGGCTAATTCATGCCACCCTCTTCCCTATTGGCAAAGGAGATCGCTTTTGGATTGCCAGCCATAATTGGTATTGTTTCAGCTTCACCTAAGCAAGCAGTCCCAGCTCTTGGGCTGCACCTAATAACTGAGCTGGCAGAGATAAAGCTTGGCAGTCCCAGTCAAGACTGGCTTGTTGTCAAAGGCCTTACCTGGGCACTGAATGTGTTTCTCCCACATGATCTTGTTTATAAGCCTTCTGGCATGTATGATTTTGTTTTTTATTGCTCTAAGATTCCTTGGCAGTAATACTTGCCTCCTGGCAAGTGGCCCGGTTCTGAAACCTTGAATCTTTTTTTTAATCACCAGGTTCCCAATTTAATGGATCTTTTGGATGTGATGGGTTTTTTCAAAGAAATAATTATTTTGGCTTCCACCTGTTTTTCAGTGAAATTTTGGCTGCCTGTTTCACTGCTATAAGTTGTTTGCTTGATCCTTTTCCTTATCCCACCCCACCCCCATTTGCAGCCTAACATATAGGTCAACATCTGAAAGCAGAAAGAATTGGATTGCAAAATAAATGCAGTAATTTTGGTGAGATGAGTTCAGAGTTTTCAGCTAGGAAATAAACTTTATTAAGTTTTATCCAGATGTGTTTGGGAAGAAAAGTCTGCCATACTTCACATACACTGGGCTGCTTTGCTTTCTTACTCCTAGTTTATTTACATGTACTCCATTCTAGTTCAGTTTCTGCAAATTCTTTCTAGAACATGGACACTGTGTTCCCATTCACTGTTCTGCCACATCTTGTAAGTTGCTTATCCATATTGTAAACCGATTTGCTAATTGCCATTTATTTTGTATATGATGATTCGAACAAATAGTATTGTATGAGAGGCATATAGGAAATAAATCAATATTATATTTGCAGGTGATGAGAATTGACATACTTTTATTAAATATCATGCTAGCTAGAGATGATTACCCTTGATAATCAAAAATGCTTCTGTATTCCTGGATAAAACAGTTGAACTCAGTTTATTATAACAAGCAAGGAAATATTCTCATAGAAATTTAAAGTCTGGAGGATACCAGGAGGCCATCTAATCTAAATATCTGTCTACTGTAAAAATCTTACTAAAGCATCCTTGAATGGTGGGCACATCAGCGCTCTAGACACTTGTTCATCTGGCTGACATGAAATGTAAAGTATTCTCATGAAATTCTTGCCACACATATATGACTCAGTAGTTCTAGCTGTATATGCTATAGGGAAGCAATTTAATCCCGAGTAAATCCTCTGATGTATGTGGGAGGCTTCATATCATTACCCTTAGCAGCTTGCTAAGTCTTCAGCTATTTGCTCACTAAGCATTTCTTGAACCACATTGCCTCTCTGCTAGTATAATAAATGGAGCATTTTCTTTTCTCTACTACATTTAGAAATGTACAAATCTCTTTTATGTCCTGTTTTAGTAGTGTTTTTTCAAGATAAAAGATCAGCTTTTGGCAATGTATTTCCATCTCTTCTCTTTCTCTTTTCCTTTCTCTTCTGCATTTCTAAAATCTGTCTCTCTGGTCATTCTTCACTAATCTGAACTCTCCTAATGTGCAAGAATGGTCCTTCCCAGAATTCCCAGCCTAACTGACTAGAGATATTCTGGTAAATGCAATCCTGGCATTTTCCCCTTAGGTTTGGCTCCAAAAGGTGTTTGTTTTTTTGAATATTGACCTGGAATTAGTCCTCACCTAGATGGCGCGCTAGAGAGATCTAGTTACCTGACAGAAGCAATTAAGAGACTATTCAGGTGTTCTAGGGTAAGAGAGATTTTCATAAATTTCTTTTTTCCCTCTTTATGCAGGTGGCGTGATCAGTTACATTGGTTCCAATGGATCTTCCCCAAGCCGCACCAGTCCCATCTCTTTGTGTGGCAGTGACAGTTTGAATGGTAGCTGCCAACTGTTTTCCCATCCAACTTTCCCCAACTACTTCCCACCTTCACCTGCAGGATCTCTGGTGCAGGATTCTGGACGCCTTTATGGGAGTAATTCGGCTGGACTTAGTGATGATGCCTCCCCGTCGTCGTCTTCCTCCTCTTCCTACAGCTCTGGAGGTTCTCCAGTGGGACTCCAAGTGACCTTGGATGATGGGAGGCGTGTTTCCCCTATCAAAAGCACCAGCAGCAGCATCACGAGTGAGTGATGAACTGGAAGGCTGCGCTTTGGGGGATGGGATCAGATTGAGGATGCTGAGGTGAGCATGGATTTGAGAGTGAATGTTGAGATGACCACATCTCGCAGGATAGTTGTGGGCTTACAGTTCCATCAACTACCAGCTCTTTTGGCAGACTATGGGATTCAGGTACTTCAATCTATCACTGTTGCCTTTTTGACAACATTGATTCCTGCTGCGTTTTTCAAAACCAGCCATGTGCATCCAATGTTTGAAAGCTCACCAGTGTTGAAGAGGCTGAAGCTGTAGAATTGTCAATCTAGTCTTCAAACAAAGAATCTCATAGCTTTTGTCTCTCTTTCTCTTTCAGAACTCAATGGGATGGTCCTTCTATGTAAAGTTTGTGGTGATGTTGCTTCTGGCTTTCATTATGGTGTCCATGCCTGTGAAGGCTGCAAGGTAAGACTTTCCAATACTTTGAACAAGAAGAATATATGTCTCTCTTTCACACAAATGAATCTATGAGAACATATCTTTTTTAGAAGTCTTTGATGAAATTGAGAGCTGCTTGAGACCATAAGTAGCACTTTTGAGGATATTATGCTCTAGAAGCATATTATGCTCTAGAGATCAGGTCTGTCTTTTGATTGCTCTTAGTGACATCAAAGATTTATAGTGTGATTTGATTATTTACCTGCTCATCTAGTAGAACTGCCTCAGAGTTGACTGGGACTCCTGGTGCACTGATACTTAATAGGGAAATTCCAAGATGTATTATTTAGGGATAATGAAAATTGTCAGCATTTCTAGATGGCATAGCTGCAAGAATGCCTTGAATAAATGACATGCAGCTAAGCAGAGTATAAAATTCTTCTGCAGTAAATTCTGCTTCAGCTGTAAAAAAATATTTTAATATGAAGGCAATACAATGCACTATTTTTAGAGCCTCTTACTTGCAATTACTATGGATAAAAGTGTCATACTTTATGTAGGTAAATAGCAAATGTAGTTCTTTTCTCCTCTCAGATTAGCACTGTAGACCAGTGTTTCGGAACCTAAGCAACTTTCAATTTTCAATTTCAGTTTTCAACTGTCAATCAATATGGAGATTTTGGGGAGCTAAAATCCACCAGTCTTCAAGTTGCCATGGTTGGGATTGCTCTAGACATTTATAAGCTATTGAGGTTTCTAGCCTTTTTTCTTCGAGTCAAGCATGTAAGAGAATTGTTGGGTGAAAAAGAATATGCTTGAGAATGTTTACACCAAAAGCACTTGCAGTTACATTCTGCTTCACAATCTCAAGAGAGATGTATTGAAACACGCATCCTAAGGATTAGCAATCAGACATAGCTGCCCCATTGCCCAGGTTAAATAAAATACTTGTCTCTCACATCTGCAGGGTTTCTTTCGGCGCAGCATTCAGCAGAACATCCAATACAAAAAGTGCCTGAAAAATGAGACCTGCAGCATTGTCCGCATCAACCGGAATCGTTGCCAGCAGTGTCGCTTTAAGAAGTGTCTGAGGGTTGGCATGTCTCGTGATGGTGAGTTCTTGCAGCAGAAAATTAAGAGATCTCAGGAAGAACAACAGTCTAGCTTTAGTGTAAACCTTTTGGTGGCCCTCTGGGTGATCTCAGAAGATCTGCACCAAAGGATAAATCATACGCACTACACTACAGAGGTTTTGGGTTGTCTTCCATCTGTAATTCTTCTGATCTACACTTTGGTGCAGATGTTCTTGGCCCCAGAGAGTCCCTAAAAGGAGAAAATGGCAAGAGATGGTGGGGAGAGAGGAGTGTCAATGTTACCGCCTTTGCCCATGGTGATGTACCTCCTTGAGATATTTGGATCAAACTCTTGCATGGTGCACTTGGGCAGCACTGCTGAAGGGTTAGGGGAAGGTTATGTGGGGTTGTTGTTTTGGACAGAGCAAATATTTCAGTCTTGTGGATTTTTTTTTATATTTATATAATTTTTAAATGCCATCAAACTCTAAGGAATTAGATATGTGTGAAATCCCCAGATTTCCCTTGAACAGTTTATCCTGCCATTGTTTCCTTTGTCACCAAAAGAAAAAGGCACATAGGTTCTTTCCTGGGTCCATCAATGGAAAGTCTTTGAAGATGAAGATTACCCAATTCCTGCTTTGATTTTTGGAAGAGTTTTTGCTTCTAAGAAAAGTCATGGATTAGAAAACCCATGTTGATCCTTGGATTCCACACAAATATTTCATGTATTGTCATCTTTTCTCTGTGTCTGTGCAGCCGTACGATTTGGGCGCATCCCCAAGCGTGAGAAGCAAAGGATGTTGGCTGAGATGCAGAGCGCAATGAACAACATGGCTAATAATCAACTGAGTGCACAGTGCCTCCCTGAGAATCTCCCCACAGGACATCCGCAGCCCAGTACCCTCTTGCTGGGCCACCAGTCTCAACCGGCACCTTCTTCCCCACCGTCCCGTGCAGCCTCCCCTCCCCAGATTTCTCCTTGCTACTCCCAGCAGCTGACACCTCCACGATCCCCAAGCCCTGGAGATGTCATGGAGGATGTCATCGCACAAGTGGCTAAAGCCCACAAAGAAATTTTTGTTTATGCCCATGACAAACTGCCCACAGGGCCCCAACCACCCACAGGGAGTAACAGTTCTCCTAGTTGGGACAACAATTGGTTGATTAATGGCACCAATGGACTGCATCTTCAGAATGACAACTGGAACACTGGCTCTGCCTCTAGACCTGCTTGCCATCAGAATATCCATGGACATAGGTTTTGCCCCTCTGGGGAAACAGACCTCTCCCTTAAGCAAGACGAAACCAGAGTCTTGGTAAGTGTTACTTTGCCATGGAAGTTCCCATTTGCCTTTCAAATTCGATTGTTGCTAAATTGTTCTGATGCTGATGCTGGTTGGGGTTAATGTGGCCAGAAAATCAAGTACTTCCCTGGGATGGGAATGAAATTCAAATCAAGAAAGTTGTTTATCTTAGCTATTTGGTTAATTATTCATCATGTGATTTGGGTGTATTTTTGTCTTCCACTATTTTTATGTTCTGGATGTTTATTATTTATTAAAATTGGATCAGTTGTTCTGGTCCCTTAAGAAAGTTGCTGCTTATTTACCCCAGGGAAAAGTATTTATTTTCCCATCTGTTCTTGAAGCTTTCTGCTTCAAGAAAAATATGAAGAATTTCTTTTTATTGCATAAACGATTGTGGATCCTTCAGCAAACAACAACTGGAATGTTTTTTTTAAATAAAAAATAATGCCCACCCATTTGGAATAGTGATCAGTAATCTTTCAGAGCCCTATGACCTTCGTTCGAGTGAAGGTCAGAGAATTTGCCCCATTAAAAACCTTGGGTGTGCAATCAGAGGTTGCCATTATTTAAGAGGTATCTGTCCAAAATATTGGCAGGAGATGAATCATGCTTGTTCAATTATATGCGTGCAGTGGAAGGGATATGCGCATCAAAAATCCTCAGTATTTTACTGTGGTTGCACTATTACTACGTAAAAGCTTAAGTTTTCATGATTTTTTTAAAAAAAGAAAATGAGCAATAAGGAAATTAAAGTTTGCTAAAATTTTATTTAAGAATGTACATCACAATTAGCAGTAAGAAAGGAAAAGTTTTTTTTCTTAGAATGGAAAAAATGTATGCACACAATCAAAAATAGTGCTTAGAAGCTTTCTTTTTTTGCAGGCTTACCTATTTCCAACCACTTAAATCCATACCCTTATTTGTCCTTACATGACTATTTCCCCTCCCAACAGGCTTGCCCAGTGAATTGTCATCCTCATGGTTATAGTGGCCGCACATTTCAGGAGATTTGGGAGGATTTCTCACTGAGCTTTGTGTCAGCTGTACGAGAAGTTGTGGAATTTGCTAAACACATTCCGGGATTTCAGGAGCTGTCACAACATGACCAAGTCTCACTACTCAAAGCTGGCACATTCGAGGTAGGAAAATTTCCACCTACGCTAAGATCCTCCTTAGTCACAAGCTATTCATATTCTGTACTGGGAAATACTTCTTCCCGAAAACCTACTTGGTATTTGTAAACAGGGCAGAGCAAAGGTTGTTTTTAAATCCCATCACAAATTTCCATCTTTTTTTTTAACAACCGAGAAAGCATTGGAAAGACATTATATGTTGGCTTCTCTCTCAAATATAAAACAATTAAAAGATTGTTATCAGGATGGTCTGCTTCTGGGAAGCTGTAACCTAGCCACACCAAGAGCAAAATAAGTGTTTTGAAAAACCAGGAAAAGAATTTCGGCTGAAATTCTGACAAATCATTTTTCTTTTGAGATCTTTGAAAGAAAAAACAGCCACCTTGGGGTTTTGCAACCTAATTTGAGAGATGATTTAAGATCATTTTTTTGCAAATTAATAGTGGAGAAAATGGTTAGGGCTAATCCTTACCAACATCTGTAAGGAATGGGATTGTTTGTGTGCCTGGGCAATCTCAGCAGTATCAGAAATTCTCCTTTTGTATCTTCATGTATACTCAAAACGAGTGGCTTTTGTGGCACAACACACCTTTGCCTTTTCATAAAAACAAAAACGAGTTCCTATGGATGCCATTGGTCCTGGTGTTACTATGCAAATGTTTTCCAATGCTACTACATATTTATTGACATAGAGTGAAACTTACAACTTCAAAATAAAATTAAGCCGTCAACATAATTCATACCAATATGTCAGATATGTTTTACTGGGAATGTGGATATTTATATACATAGTAGCGAAGAAAGCTTAAAAGTAACTTCATGCTTTAGCTCATGGGATTGTCATCTCTCTCAAGATTTATGCTATGATAATTTGCATTAGATTCTTAAATCCATTGGCTTTGGAAGCATTTTGTAAGATTCTTGGTAGGAAACTTGAGTATTGTAAAATGGTGAGTTACATCTCAAAACTTGTATGCATGGAAAACTTGAGCACAACATTGAATTATGACCATTGTGAAGTAAGCTCTGTATGTGTGTGTGTGTGTAAGCCTCCATGTTTCTTAAGTATGTAGTCATATTGATGGTTTTTTCATAGCAGTGAATGACATCAAGTGATTGATATAGTAAGATTCTTCATTTTGAGTCTGAAGTTGTTGCCATGGCATGAAAGGCACAAATTGCAATTATAATTCTTCCTAAATTGTAATCATAATATCAAAGTTTCTTATGTCATTTTGGTGTTTTTTAAAAAAATAGAAAAATGCACTTGACTAGTATTTGTGGGAGCATACTTATATTCTGAAAGTTCTTTTTTATCTTTTCTCTCCATCCCCAGGTGCTGATGGTTCGGTTTGCCTCCCTTTTCAATGTCAAGGAGCAAACTGTAACGTTCATGAGCCGCACAAAGTACAACCTTGAAGAGTTGTGGGGGATGGGCATGGATGACTTGTTAACATCCATGTTTGAGTTCAGTGAGAAGCTTAGTGCCTTGCAACTATCTGAAGAAGAACTGGGCCTCTTCACAGCAGTGGTGCTGATCTCTGCAGGCAAGTATCCATTGACCTAGATTGGTGGGAATTCCACTTCAAACATACAGACTTTTTGATGCATCCTTTTCCCAGCATAGCTAGTTTTCATTCATTTGCTGTCCTTGCCAATGGCTTTCATACCTCCAAATTTGTGATTCTTCACTACCAAAATATAACCCCCAGATCCCTACCTTCCAAATACTAGAAACTTTTTAGATGTAACTGAAATTCTCCATATTCCTCTTCTATCCCAGTTCTCCCTTCAACATCATATTTTAGCAATGTTATGTCCTCGGGGACAAAACCTTCATTTGTTGTGAAGTAGGATGCATGTCGATGGTTCTTTAGAAATAACAACCAACTATGTTTCAAGGATTGTGATTTGCAGATCATCTTTGACATGATTTTCTGTTACAATTGGGCATTCTTGTGATCTGGAGGGAGGCTAGACATTTCTGATACTGCATCCTGGACTCTGGTTTTATGTACTTCCTTTGCAGCATTCCTCCGCAGTACTTACTGTCCATTCCTCCCCAATGTAGATCGCTCAGGCATTGAGAACCCAGCATCGGTAGAGCGGCTGCAGGAAACTCTGATCCGGGCGCTGCGAGCCCTCATCCTCAAGAATCACCCCCAGGAGACATCCCGCTTTACTAAACTGCTCTTGAAACTGCCTGATCTGCGCACCCTCAACATGCACTCCGAAAAGCTTCTCTCCTTCCGCATTGATGCTCAGTAGAAGATAGCGAGGGCAGAAATACTGCAAGTCCAGGCTCCTGACCAATTCTCCCTGCTTTATTGCACTAACCAGACTATTTTGGGCCTGGACCTGGCTATCTATTTATGCGGGCATAGCAACTGCTACTCCTGCCTGCTCAGAAACAAACAGCACAACCGCCTTTGTAAATATATCCGTGTATATTGGAACTGTGTGAAGAGAATACCCCTCTTCCTGGCTGTGGTGCCAACTTCAGGAGACAAATACAATGAAATCAAATTCTCTGGGTGGTTGTCTTCCTTCTTTTGTTCACTTGTTGCTCTCTCAAATTGAAACTGCTGTGGGGATTGGAATCAAGTGTGGCATGATCCTTTGGCTGCCACCAGATGGAAAGCAAATCTTAAGAAAGAGGTGGATAACTGGAGCCCCACTGGCTTTTTCTAGGGAGGGTGATGTGGTTTAAAGTCCTGTAAAAACTGCTAGGTGAGCAAGCTCACCTGCCTTATTGATTCCTTAAAATGCTCATCTTTTTTAACTTTTCCTTTGGTGTAGGAGACCTACAAATTCCTTTTGTAATAGATGCCACTTAAAGGGCTTCAATAATTTTGAAATAATGTCCCTTGTCAGTAGAAATGCAAGGGAAATAACTAAACCACCTTTTTTTGAAATACTCCTGACTAGCAAAAAGAAAAAAAGAATAAATGATCACCCATTATCAGATTAAATTTAAATAAAATGAGGCAATTAGGTATGCTGGCAAATTGGCCTCTCTTTCCACAGCTTGGTGAACTTTCTGTGTGTAGGAGAGGTTTTACCCATTAAGAGAGGCTTTGATGGGTAAAATAGTTAGAAGAGAACAGATTTCAGCCCAACCTTGTACTCAGTTTTGGCGATTAAAAGAAAGGATGTTATGCCAGCCACCATTTTACCAGAAATGAAACACCAAAAGTCAGTTGGGGCTGTGAGGTTTTTTTTTGTCTTTGTTTAAGGGTAGGTTTGTTTGTTTTTTAATCATATATTTATTACATAAATATATAGTAAAATAGACCAGCAACAATTACCATAAAAATATCTTTCTTTAAAATCCTGACCAAAAACACAAAAAGGGTTATTTTTTTCCCCTGCCCCAGACTTTTCAGGGTTATTTTTTTTTTTCAAAATCGCACGTCACAGACAAATTGTGATTGTCGTATTTTTTACATCAGCAGCTTCCTGCTTCCCAGATGCAAAAAAAGGAAAAGGAAAGGAAGAAAAACAAACAGAAAAAAGAAAAAGACACTAAGGGAGAAGGGGGAAAGGGATGAGGCAGAGGGAACACTTTCCCCACCTGGTTTTTCCTTCCCTCTGGACTCTTCCCCCATAACCCAACCCCCCTTCAGAAAACCCCATCTCCCAAATGTACATTCACTAACTCCCTGCTCACAGTTTCTTTCCCTGCTCTGGACTGCGAGGGGGAAAACCACGATGCATAGTATATTGGGGGTTTAAGTATAAAGTTAAGTAAAAAGTTGCCTCCTTATTGGAAACTCCTTTTTATTCTTCCATAATCTTTGATGATAATCTGGATTCAAAATTAAAAAAAAAAAACCCTTTTAGAAAGAAAGACTGGCTGGGGTGATGGTGAAGAAGGTAGTGGGATACCATTTATAGGATTGCATGAGGTATGTATTGGCAAAGAAATACTGAGAGGAGGTGTGGGAATAATAATCAGTTTCTCTCTCCCCGCCCTCCCCCAACATGAATAAGTGTATAATGGGGAAAAATCTGCTTCTTACCCACAGTCATTAAGTGCCCCGCGTTGATGGAGGAAGGAATTTTGGGCCACTGCCCTAAGAAGCAACACCTTTACTACAGATTGCTTCTCCTATAGTAGTACTATGGCGTACAAAAGAGGTGGGAGAGAGACTGTGTTCCTTGCACTGAACTCTGGGTAAAATGTGAGCATGGCATGACAGGGAAGAATGACACCTGAGGTGGCAAAGTATCAAAGTATGAAGTGTCGTGGGAGGGATTCACACCCTGAGATTTTCACATCACGTTAAGGATAAGTTATGACTTGGGCAGCAGCCTATGTACCCTCCTACCCCAGCTGACATAAGATGGGGGACAGTGCCCTCTCTAGGTAAACCGGCACAAAGGAATTAAGTCAGAGGCCTCCTTTCTCCATTAGCAGCTTTCTTGCGTAGAGTGTCTTGCATATATAAATCTCTAGTACAAAGGGGGTGGGGGGGAATTCTACCTTTCTGCATTCAAACTCCTTATGCAAAAGCTATTTCAGCTCCCCTTAGGAGGTGGTGTTATGTATGTGCTGGTGGAGAGAAGAGTGTTCTAAATGAGGACTACAATCAAGATCCTAAAAAACAGACATACAGGTAGTCCTTGACTTATGTCCATTCATTTAGTGACCATTTGAAGTTACGATGGTGTTGATAAAAGTGACTTATGCCAGTCCTTGGTCTTATAATCACTGCAGCCAGCATGCCTGCGGTCATATAATCACAATTTTGGTTCTTTGCAACTAGCATGTATTTCTGATAGTTGCAGTACCCCAGGATCATGTAACTGCCATATATGATCTTCCCAGCTGATTTGCAATAAGCAAAGTCAATGGAGGAAGTCGTATTTGCTTAACAGCTGATTCAGATAATGACAGCAGCAAAAAGGTCATAAAATCAGGTGTGACTTGCTTGATGACTGCATCACTTAGTGACGATTGTGGTCTTAAGTCGAGGACTATCTGTGCCATTGTAAAAGCTTAAGGGGGTGCAAAATGCATTCATTCCTCACAGCTGACATAGTGATGTTGGCCAGGCTGAAAAGGTTTACTTTGGCTATAATGTCTGTCTTAACAATTAAGTAATCGTTGTGAATAGGGGGGTCCTTGCCTTTTCCTTGTAAGATACAACCAAATGAAGCTGATTGTTTCACAACATGATGCTATTACTTGATCATACTCCAAAGATGTCGATTTAAACTATAAAGTCTGAATTAATCTAGTGTTGTAAATTCTAGTTCAGTGTTTCTCAACCTTGGCAACTTGAAGATGTCTGGACTTCAACTCCCAGAATTCCCCAGCCAGCGAATTCTGGGAGTTGAAGTCCAGACATCTTCAAGTTGCCAAGGTTGAGAAACACTGTTCTAGTTGAAGCGATAAACTGTGCTAGTTCATTCACAAACTATTGCTATTTAACAATAATGCTACCTAACAAGCCACTATCACAGAAATGTCAACCACATCATCATCCAAAGTCTCATGTTTTCAAAAGATGAAAAATCACTTTCTTAATTTTTCTTAATACCTCAGGCTTAGCTTTCTATCTTAAGAAAAGAAACCAAGAGCCTAGTTTCTCAAATTATTTAAGGGAATACAGAATTTAGCCAGATCACTTCAGCTTGCTAGGCAAGAACAATGAAGGGTTCATAACTCTACACAGGGCACCTAAGCTGAAATCACAGAAATGTTTCTAATTGGACAGACCATCTCTCATTCCTTTCAGAGCCTCATAGGGACAACCAAACACACCAACTAAAGTAGTATAATAATTAGCCAAGACAAATAAACCAAAACAAATAGCTGACATTTGTCTTCCCCCTACACTGCCTTCCATTTGAGACTTTGGCAGGAGGCTCTGCATGTAGAACAAACTTGTGCAAAGTGCGGTTTACACTTTGTATACATAAGATATTTGTGCACAGTTGAAAGAACTATACTTATTAAATATATATATATATATGCTCGAGATGAAGTCAAGCAGGAGGTTCTGCACAAGCTCACTGAAATGAATGCAGTCCCACTCATTTCAGGTAGGGTCGAAATAGAAGCTGTTCCTTTTCAGTTCAACTATATGTATTATATATACACACCTAAATATGTTCAGGCTCCTTCATCCAAGGTAATACCATCTGTGACTATTTTCTCAGGACTACAAAGCCGATCTTTCATCTTGAAGTTGAGTATGCGTGGGAAATTCATAAATGAAAGTACTCAAATACTATTTTATAGAGGCTGTACTATTTGGTATAAGGCAATGAGGAATTTTTATCCTGCCCCCTCCTCCCTGATAACCAGGGGCATTTTTACATGCTTTGTAGATTTCAAACATTAAGATGTTCCAATTACACCTTTTCAAGGCAGAATTAGTTTCCAAGTTGGGTTATATATAAAATATTTACAGAATTACAAATGCTGAACAGACTGTTCACTTGATTGATGTGTGAAAGTGTGTCCTTGCTGGCAACTTACAGAGTATTATTAAGGCTTCTAGAAAGATGAGTGTAGAGAACTGACCTCAAGATGGGGGTAGCACTGAGGCTTGAATCTGCCCTACTTCAGCTGCCCTGACAAGATGAGGGGGAATATGAAATATTGGTGAAGTGAGGCCAAATGACAAACGTGTTTGAGACAGAAACAAACAAGAATGGGGAAAATGAGGTAAGGTTAACATCAAGAAGGAAAATATCTGCAAACATACAGAAACACATATACCTACATTTAAGATATTCCTCAACTCTGCCACAAATGCTTGGCAGAACAGTTTGAACCCAGAGAATAGGCAAGGCTCAGTAGTTATAGCTTTCAGGTATATTCAGCCGGGCATAGCAGGAATATAATATTCTTAGTATGGGAGAGAACAAACCTGTCTACAAACAGGGAATGCAAAACCGGCATGATAGAAGGAGACACACTGGCATGTGTGTATGAGACAGGGACCTTCTTTTCACAGAGAAGCAAATTTGTACTAGATATGTTTGTACCTCTTAAGAATATTAAAATATATACAGAATTTGTTAGCTTAAAACCACAAGATTGGACACCCATACATCTGAGGTAATTTACACTGCAGATTCACAAGTCCCTCATTTTCATTATTACAAGTAAAACATACACATTTAGACACGAGCCAATGCTGATAGTGTGTTAGGGACACATCTGGGGTCACCATAAACCAGAGCGTATCTTTCTCATATACCAGGAAGATGTTTATGTAGGAACACCACCAATGGCCAGAATAACATACTCATTGAGATAAAGAATACATGTGACCAGCTCTGGCCTCAGCGGGGTCTCCTGGCAGCACCACAATGCCTAAACTGTTTCACGGCTTCTGCCTTTGCTCAATCTGCAAGAAGTGAAGAACAACCTGCCTTTGGATGGCATTCATTTTTCTTCTGCTGTCCGAGTTTAAAATAAAAATCCTTTAGGGCCCTGAGCTGCCAAAGAGAATGCTGGAACCTATAATTTCTACAGTACAAGTAGCAAAGCAAACTCAGCTCAACCCCCTCTCCAAAAAGAAGGGGGAAAGGTATTAGTTCTAACTGAAGGTGGAGTTTGGAATAAGGTAATGATAGGAAGATTATTTGAGATCTGTTTTTTAGGCTTCCGGGTTTAAGGGGTAACTTGCAGATTAGTTACCTATGCAAACCTTTTCAGCCTGGCAAGGAGGGTCATAAGTGGCAAGAGAGCCTTAGTTTCTGCAGCCCTTTGCAGGCAGCAGAAATATATAGGTAGTCCTTGTTTAGCAACTGCCAAAAGTTATGACAGTGATGAAAAAAAACTATGCAATCCTTGCATTTATAACCTTTGCAGGTCTGTAAAGCAAAGGAAACTGACATAAGATCGCAAGGACAATCAGTTTCACTTAACAACCACATCATTTAAATTGCCAGGGATAAATGAGAATTACCTGTAGTTCATTTCTCCGTTATCAAAAGAAAAGGCATTAACCTCCAGAGGTTTATTTTTCTCTTTTAAAGAACTATGTGGCAGAATTTTGGATAAGTACTTGAAAGGCTGGCTGCTGAGGGAGAGTAAGTAAGTCAAGAACTAGCACTAGAGAATAATGTGTGTCTTTCAATGTGAGACTGTCCAGTTGGGACTCCTTGATCAGTGGGGAGGGAAAGCGAGGAAGGAAAAAAGAACAAAGAGGCGTCTGACCTGAGGCAAGAAAGCCAAATACACTGGAACAGTTTTTGGCAGGCAGGCTGGGGAAGAAGATCTTAAAAACCGTTATTCTAGGTCAAAACCAGCTTTTTATTTTTTATGTATTGCTTATTCTTATTCTAACTGAAAATAAGAAGAAATACGAGACCTTCCAAACACTGTAAATAGTTTTGTCGAATGCTCGGTTTCAGGAATCTTGTTTTTCTGCCTCTCTCTTTGGAAGCAAACAGCCCCGCACTTGGACGCCATGAGAATTTAGACAATTGGAATACAATGGTATAAAATTAAGGCTGAAGATAAATTTATCAATTAAAAGGTAATCTGAAAAAGGATTTATTTGGGTTGTTGTCTGCAATACTTTGGCTTCAAGTCAATTAAATGGAATTTATGGAAGCTGAACTTTAGAATCAACCCAGATGTTTGAGCCAATTAATATTTTCACTCTGAATTTTTATGGAGAACATTTAGCAAACTGGCTAGGTCTGATTGCAGAAAAAAGCAACAACTTTTGAAAAAATCCTCAGAAAAAGGCATTATTCATGCTTATTTGTGCAGGATTTCTTGTCCTAAATAACTAGGCAGAGCACCCTGGAATACTCTAGAAATTTTCAAAATGCCATGTAAGAAGCACAATGGCCACAAATGCACTGCTTCCAAAGGAAGATCAAAAATATTTTGTATACTGGCCACGTTTGTTGTAGGTGCCAGCTTGGGACAAACATTCCATCTTATGTGAGCAAAAATAATAAATTTTTTAAGAAGAGAATTTCAAAGAGCTGGATTTTTTTCAGCTTGCCCTTATGCTGCTTTTTAGATCTTTTCTCAGCTGATCATTCCAACTCTTTTATAACCTAACTGAATTGATATTATTTCGAACTCCTTTTACAAGTGAACTGACTGTATTTAATGCATGTAATGTACATCTAAAGACCTCAATTCTCCCTCAAGCAACACTCAACTCTTTCAAATGCTACATTCATCACTGACCCAAGCAGGGTTTCACACATTCGGTCATCCTAAGATCTACTGAATTTGTCAAATGATTCAGTAAAAACATTGTTTATGTGATCAGGTTCAACTCAATAGCAGCTCATTCATAACAGAAGATCATTAGCATGGAAGGCATATGCTAACAAACATGCTTGAGGCTTAGAAATTACATACCTTGCAAAGCATCTCAATTTCTGAAATGGACAAGAATGGGTTGGGAATACTAACCAGCTTTGTGTAGTGCAGATACATTAGTGAAAGCTGTACCGTTCCCTGAATGAAATATGAATAAGGATAGAAAATTAGTTAGCCAGTAAACACCTTTTGACATGTTTCTGTGATATCTGGGATGCATTATAATTTTTTTTAGTTTAGAATGAATAAATAGATGGGGGGAAAGAGTATAAAAAGCTAAAGGAGTAGCTTGAGTTGAGTTCAATTCCTGATTACATGGGTAATTCTGAATTTTTTTTTCCTTGTCAAAGGTTATTCAATATTCCAGTGAGGGAATACACATCTCAGAGATCTGATTTCAAGCCAAGTTCCTGAGATGCATAGAAATTTAAGGAGATTTTTTTGTTTCCTTTATTTACAACAGTTGTATGCCACCAGCCCAATCATGGACAGCGGGTGGGTGTGGGGCTGAAATACTATTGCAGTAATAACAGATTGATTTTTAAAATACAATTGGAAAATGGTTAAGTAGGAAAAAGCTCCTGCCTGAAAACTTGGTACAGCACATTGCTTTTTTAACAAGACTGTTTAACAAGACTACATAAAGTCGAAGGACAGTGCAAGAATTACAAGCTGCTGGGAATCACAAATCGATACCTAATATTCTATTTTATTTATTCATTGAGTTTCAATTTCAGATTTCAGCTTTTGTTGTAACTCTTTTCTGGCCAGAAAGCTGGTTCCCACTACTCACATCTGCAGAAATTCCTAAAAGATTTCCACTGGAAAAGCCAAGGAAAGAAAGCATTGGAAAAAAGCTAAGGAAAATTATGGCCTTACAGGGAAGCATCCATATTTAATTCTGAATAAGAATGGGTCTTGCATAGTGGGAAAGCAGCAGATTAAGGCTGGGTTCACACATTATATGTTTTAACCATGATTTAATGAATAAATTAGCTGAGTTCATAAAACATGCTAAACCATGAACTATGGCTTAAAAAGATGACCAAGTTTCATACAACATGCTGAGCTAAAATCAAGGAAAATCGCATTGTATCTTAACATAACGTATGAAGCCAGCCTAATAATAATGCTAAGTGTAATGATTGTATGAAAAAAGTCTATCAAGAAAGGGGAAACTGCTTTGGATGGTTATACTAACACTGGGCACTATTTAAAAACGTAATAAATTGTGATTATCTTAGCACAGGAGAGAGATCTGGGCTCCTGAAGCAAAACAAGGACAGCACAGAGGAACCTGTAGATCACAGCCAATTCCTCCTGTTTTAATCAAATACTGTGCTTCCCTTACCGAATACTCCTTCAAGATAGTTGTTTCCATGGTCTAACATTACCCAATTGCACCACCAAAAGTAAATATAGCAGTCAAAACCCCCAACCTGGAACTAAGCAAGGGCTGTTCTTGTGAATAAGTGCTACATAAATCTCTGGATAAGTGCTATATAAACTTCTGTGGCGGAGCACTTGCAGTGGGACCAGAGAGGACCCACACTCAGTTTGTAACAGCCCCAATTACCAGAATCTGACACTCACTCTCTACAAGAGGAAGCAGAAAATGACGTTTCCATGAAAAATGCAGCCCTACCTTTTGTGGAGGATTCTGAATTGCTAGAAACCCAAACAGTCGGATCGCTTCACTTCACTGCTCTCCGGCCTCACGTTCTGCTTGACTCTAAGATGCCATCGCTGGGGAAAGCGGCCTGAAGTATTGGGGACTGCTGCCCGCCCAAGGAGAGAATACTGAGCTACAAAGGACACTGGTCTGCTTCCATTTAAGGCAGAAATGTATGTCCATAAAGTGAGTCTTATATTCAAGTCCAAAGAGTGTATTTTCTGTCAAACCTTTTAAGATACAGGAGCAGGGCCTAGCAAAAGAATTTTAATGGCCATGTTGAAGCAAATCCAGTGATTTTGATAGGATTTCCTTCTGGTTACGAGTTCAGCCTAATTAACCTCTGTCTCTCACAGACACAGGAACAAACACAATGCACATGCTCTCTCATACACACAAGCACACATACCTCATTTTATTGCACAGGGAAGATTAATGTAAGAAGGGAACTGTTTACCAAAGACTTGCAAGCCTGTTTCATGGGACCAATACAGATTTTAGAAGGGATGGGTAATATTAGAGAAGGGCAAAACAATGAGGGTTGCAGCAAGAAAGGGCAGTGCTAAGTGGTCTGAATAAACTAGCTATTTCTGAGAAAAGCTGGATTAAGTATGAAGGAACTTACATTTCTAATAAGCCATGTGCATATTGTGTAGGTGTAACAGGGAATAGCATGTTATAAGTAATATAAGAAAACACCAGTCTTTGAAATTAGTCAACCAGGCTATAAAGTTCCTCATCTTTGGATGCTTTTCAAATTGTTATTGCATGGATATGAGGCTTTGGGGATATTTTCAGGCAAGTTTCTTCAGCTTCTATGCTGAACAAAATAAGTTTCCTCCATCAAAGAAATCCAAGATTAGCTCATATCTTCAAGGCAAAACTTCTGCATCTTCTCAAGATACATTATTTCAATGGACCCAGTTTTATTCCTTGGGGAAATAGCTGGTGGAACAACAACTGGGCATGGTGTTTCCTATGCACTTTAAACACAAACATCTAACTCCCAAATCAAGAAAAGCTGAATGCTGCTCTAAGAAAAATGGAACAATTAAGAAAAACGTGGGCTTATTTTGCATAATGTATTCTGTTTCTGCACCAGAGGTATGTATCCTACACACCACTGGAAATCCCAGTTAAGGTCTGTTCTGAGGATTCATTGGGCCTCGTAAGCTGTCTTCACTACCATACCAGTTAGAAACTTGCTTTTTTTTTTTAAAGAAAAAAAAAACATGAGACTGTTAAGATCTGTATTCAAAATCACATTTGACGACTGGGGAACAGGTATTGCCTTGAATATTATCCAGTATGACTGCTGGCATTTATCACCCCAGACTCCCTTCAATTCAAGCCCAGCAATTACTTCCCCATTTAACCCCATGTCATTTAAAGATGATAAAAATAAAGCAAAAATCAAACAAACAAACAAAAAAGCATTATGTCTTTTCCAACCCAAATTTTTGTTTGTGTGATTTTTCCTTTTTGTGAACAGACCCGTACAAAGATTTTCCTTAATTAAAAAAAATTATACATATTTATATATATATATATATATATTTCTGTATATTAGCTTAAATTGGAGCTGAGTTCTCCATGCGCCGGCCTCTGAACCTTCAGATGGTACATCCAACATGCACCCAACCCATCACGTAACATTTCCCACGGCGTCTTGAATGAGGTAAGAGGTAAAGGGTTTTTTTTTCCAACGGAAACCATGTGACAGAGAGAAAGAGCAAGGGAGGGGGGGAATAAAAATATACCCCTCTCCCGAATAACATTATATTACAGTTGCAGAAAAAAGAAAAAGTCTGGCTATTAATTTGACAAGAAATGGATCTATCACAGATAAAGCAGTTTAGGAGAGATAGAGCAATCTGATCTATGGACAGTGTTAAGTGCCAAAATACTTGCATTAAGGTGATCACAGTCTGGCTTGCATTAAAGGTGAAAAAGATAGGAAGAAAGCGGGAAGCTGGTGGTTGTTATCTTGTTTTTTTGTTTTCCTTTAGAAATACCTCCTCCAAGGGCAAATCTTTAGAGTGGGAATTCGTAACTGGATGTTCCATGTCAAATATGGGCCTAGGTACCAATTGCTCCACCTTCCCCAAGCATCAGCCAAGAGGCAAAAATCCAGGATTAAAGGCAGGGCTGGTGGCTATTGAAATGGAGTTGTAAGGCCTGGTCAATCACAATTTACCCTACTCCCCTTCTCCAAATAATGTTCCCATAAAGCTAAACTGCTGGCCAGAACTTCAGAGGTTCTATTTTCCAACAACCAGTCACAACCACATAAGCACAACACTAAATAATGAGGAGGGGGGAAAAAAGCTGAAATCAAATGGAAACAATATCTAATTTGAAAAACTTGAGGTGTCTTTCTCTCGCCAACTTGGCCAATTCAGTTTTACAAATGTGGGTAGCCTGCCTCCAAGTTCCCAACTGGATCACCTCTGATACAGTTCATGCAACCTGAGGCTCGGGGCATTGCTCTGCCCATGACACTTCAAGTGAGGCAGGATGACCCTCCTTTTGTGCAAGGAAGTGCATTTGTATATTAGTTCATTGATCTAGCACCCCTCCGAAAGGGAAAATTAGACCTAATCAGGCCAGGATAACCTTTCCAACAGGCCTTGCAAGAGGAACCTTTGCCTTTTCCTCCCATGTGCACAGATACAACTGGGAGTACAAAAGGGCCAGTAACTTAGAATTGCAGGGGACATGGAATGCTGTGCAGGAGAAAGAGAAGTTATTATGCAGAGCCCACAACCTCTTAATACAGAAAGGCTGTACAATCCTGGGTTGGAAAGGGTGTGCCATGTCCCCATGAATTTCACTGTCTTCGTGTTTTCTGTATTGCTAAGTGCCATCCCCCCCCAAACCCCACCAAAATAAGAAATAATTGAAACCTAACTTTGATTCTCTTGGAGCATTGAAGGGTTAGGATTTCTCCTCGTTTCTTCCCCAGAGAGAAGGGCGTTGAAGGGAGGGTGCAGCAGGGCAGCGAGAATACTAGTGCAGAAAGAAGTGTACCGCCACGTGGCGTGGGAAAGCGTGTGCAAAGAATTAGCAAGGGCCGTTTCAAAGCCCAGTGGGAACATTGCATGCAGCCTTTCAGCTGGGAGGGGGCAGCAGGTGTGGGTGGGAATCTGTTAAATCCACCCACCTTGCTGAACATGGAGGTAGATTGGCTGAAGCTTTGGGGGGGGGGGGGAAGAGGACATCGGGGCAAGGAGGAAGGCTGATGAATATACCTCTCAACACTGGAACACAAAACAGGCACCTCTTAAGAGTGCCATTGCCCTGCAGTGCCATTCAAAGCAATATAAAATAGATCATTTTTTTATTATTTTTATAGTTCAGTCACCTGTTTCCCCATTAAGGGAGGAGCTGAGGGGAAAGATTTTTATCTCACTCAAAGTGCATTTGTCCTTCACATGTGGACCTTCAGCCTCAATTTAGGTTTATTCTCTTTTCTTGCCAAAATATCTGTGACCTTCCTCCTCCCACCTGCCCCTAATTATTTAATAGGATTTCTCTTTTCCTCTCTCTCTCTCTCTCGGTTCCATTTCTTTCTTTTACAAAAAAAAGTGCATTTTCGATTTTAGCCTCCCAGGGAGGATAACTAAATGCTAAAGTTCTTAAAGAAAAAAACAACAACCAAACACACTCTGACGTTTCCTGGGACTGTTATGTGCAAAAGAATATATATACATACATATACATACATATATATATTTATATGTATATATATTTATATTTATATATATTGGTAATCAAGTCCGTTTAAACAAGAGAGGTTTGATCAGGGCTCAAGAGGTGCCGATTGCTTCCAGTGTTGTGGAGGGGCAGAAAACTTTTCTTTAAAGAAGGGGAGAAAGGCAAAGCATTTTGGAGGGAGGGGGGAGAGAATAATATATGGATTGTTTTTCTCTTTTTTTATGTTAAAGTTTAAGACAGACATTTCACCCTGGAAAGATGACTTTGGACAACAGGGGACATAACAAGGAGGCAGGTGGGAATTGTATTGTCCACTTTTTTTTTTAAAAAAAAAAATCTGCCTAGAGAAAGGATGTGTTGGCTACTGCACACGTCTACCTCATAACCCAGATTTTGTATACCTTTGACTTTTTTCATGGCCCACCCCCTACCAAGGATGCCCTTGCTTCCCCTATCTAGGGGATTCATTGATGCTGACGTGCAATATTTAGAAAAACAAAAAGAAAAACAAAAAGAAAAAAAATGAAAACAACAAAACAGAACAAAACAATGAAAATCTGTTGTGTCCGAGGTGATGAGGTGAGGGCCCTGTGACCCAAGTCCAGACATCGCCCCAGCCCCAAATTGCCCCATGTCCCCAATTCGCCCATGCCACCCTGTTTGCCCCCTCCCTCCATCCCTCCTCACGCCCTAAACTTCCTGATCCTCAAAGACCTCGAGGAACAGTGGGGGGAAGAGCTCTGTAGGACATTCCACCTTCATGTGCAGGAAGCGGCTGGCATGGCAAGCCCCAATCATGCGCAGGTCAGTCACCTTCATGAGGAGCTTGGGCCAGAAGTGGGGAATGTTGTGTTTGCGATAATTGATGTAGTGTTCAAATGCCAGCAGATAGGTCTCTTGGCATTTTTCAATCTTATCAACGCAAATTAGCCCACTGCGATCTGCAAAATAAATGGAAAAAGAGGATACATGTTAAGCAGGCATGAATTTGTCCCTCTGCAATCAACCAAGTTGCCCCAATCCCAAATTACCTTTCTGACTGACTAAATCTTACCAAGCTCTCATTGCCCAGATTAGAATTAACCCCGTGTTCTCCATATGTGCAAAGCACAGCACCTGAAGTTCAGCTCCTTAGTTTTTCTGCCCCATAAAAGAGAGCATCCACAAATGGGCTTGCAGGAAGAGGCAAAGACTTTGTGAGACAGGATAAGATCTTTGTCAAAGTCTGTAGAAACTGGCCTGACTAGCTGTTTTAGGCACAAAGGATTAAAGTTCCCTATTCCTACTCTAGTGTTTTAGATATACAGTTTTTCTATGTGTATGAAGAGACTCCAGAGATTAAAAGTGGCTCTCGCTCACTGCTTACAGTTATCTTATAATGATCTTCAGAAAGATCACTTAATGACTATTATTGGGAGTGCACCTCTGTCACTAAGCATCACTTCATAGAACTGCTTACTGACAGTCATAATATAACTTTTCACTCTGAATCACTCAATTCTATCTTCAAAATGACTCTCAAATCAAACTGACCAAGCTTCCTTTCTCTCTGGTTTCTCAGTGCAACCTTCTCACCTGAACATAATGATGCAGTTCAGTTAATAACATTCAACTTGAATTCAATTTTTCAACACATCCAAAGGCCACTTTAACTAATCCTACAATTGACTGACTGAAGCCATTACATTAATCCTCTTCTTCATTATTTAATATCCTTTTAAACCTCCATCAATTCACTAGCCAGGTGCAACATTCCCTAATTCCACAAATGTGACACATATTCTGCTGGAGAATTGGAAAACTGAAAAAAATATACCTAAAAATACAAACTTAATGATGGTCATGGTCTCACTTAGGCATTTTGACAAATGCAAAGTTGCACATGGCCCATCCTTGACCTCAGGGAAAAGTTGCAGCTAAGATGCTAGCCCAGATTCTACCTTCTCACAAAGTACAACTTCAATCTGAATTCTTACAAACTTATTGATAATTAACGGGGGTAATACTGAGCTATATACAGCCTTAGCCTGACTCACCTATGTTTGAATAATGCCAATCACATAAGGGGCACACTGAGAACATAATCCATCCTCCATGCATACCTGAGGACATGAGCAGCACAGCCTGGAGCAGTGCCACTTCAGTGTCATCCAGGCTGAAGGCAGAGAGGGATTTTCCCAGATCAAAGATGGCATCTGATACTACGCCCAAGCCACCGTTCTTCAGCTGCTCCCGCTTGACGGCCATTTCACCACTGAGCGTCAGGGTTTCACTTTCAGGATCATAACGCACAGCTGCCCGCAGTGACATAATCTCCATGCAGCAGCCCTTCAAAAGGATGATCTGGTCCTCACAAGGCAGCTAAAGGTAGAGAGACACATGGTCATCTTGGCTCTGGCATACATGGTTTTCTAGGATAGTCCACACTGGAGCAAAATAAGATCTTACCCCACTTCCCATAGAATGAAGGGTTTTTTTGCTTTCCGAGGAGAAAATTAGTGCAAGCCCTTAATATACAGAGACAAGGAATGGCTGTGCTATCAATAGTGGGCCCCAGAAATAGAAAGTGTACACATTTCCCCAGGTCAAAGTAGCAGGAAATCAAGAGCCAGAAGTTAGTTGTGGTAGGAAATGTGATGCTTCTTTTGAAAGTCACTTATTTGCAGGAAATGTTCTCTTTTAGCAGCTGGCTCTGTTCACCAGGAAGCTAACTGAAATTTGCTGCCCTCAGCTAGTTAGATATGCTCCCAGGATGGCTATCAGACCATCTATGAACAACAAGTTGCTGCATGATAATTCTCCTACAATTTTCAGCCTGATACAATGCTCTTTCTCTTCTGCATTTGTGACCAAATCCCTGATTTCCAACTTTGGCTTATTTATCCAGCCTGAACATTTTGAAGACATAATAAGATAGTTTGTGGTAATTAATTCACCCAATCTAAAGCCACCATCTATGTAATATTGAAGAGGATACTTTACACTGCTAACATTAATGCTGTATAATATAATAGCTGAGTTTTCACAGCACATTAGAATAGAGTAAAATGATGTTGATAAGTTCAGAATGTTCTAGAATCCTGCCTGGGTCTTAGAGTGCTATAAAACCCCAGCCATTCAATTTCCCTAAGTGAAATAGAACTAGAAAATAGAAAACAATTTTCTGAAAGTATGAAGAAGGAGGCCCAACTACTTTCATTACTTAAGGGAAGGACTCTAGATTTACTTGATCTTCTCCATTTGTACAACCCACACCCTTATCATCTCTGGGCTAAACTACTGCAATACAGGCAGTAGTTAATCATCCATTTGCTCAGTAGCTGTACACATTTAGGACAATTTTGAATGAAGGGCCTTTCAACTGGTCCTTGAAGTTCTGAGTACTTCAGAACTCCCACACCATGTGAACAAAATTCAGGCCAACTCAGTCTTATTTGCTTTTAACCTTTTGGCAAGCTGCATACCATGTGGCTCTATTCCCTGTTCTTGTGCCTGCCATACTGTATGCCTCTACCATAACGCCCGCGGTGGTCTTTTACATTGGTGCACCCAGGGCCTTTTTTGCATACGCTCCATTTGCGGGTGAATCAAGGCTTCCATTCATGTTCTGCCCAGGGCCTGCCTGTCACATTAAGGAAGGCTCATGTTGCACCAGTGAGAAAGAATATCTTTTGTAGGTGGAGCCTTCTTTCACACCCTGGGGCTCTTGGCAAAACAACGCCCTGGGGAGGACACAATGCAGGCCCTGGGTGCGGGGGAAGAGATGATTTGGCTGCACTAGGATGAAACAAGGCAGTGTGATAGGAGGTTCCATCTTCTAAATAGTCTGCACAGTGTAGTGGTATTGGTCAGGGCTGAACAACAGTGGCAGCTGTCAGCAATGGGTAGATAGGTGGCAAAAAGGGCAGAGATGGATGGGAGCTAAACAAATGGGGGGGAAGGGTTTAAAGAGGAGGCTGGCTCTTACTTAACCGCGGCATAGAGATGGGAGGGAGTGGCTTAGATCGGGCTTGGTCCTCAACTAACGACTGTGGGAATTTAGTTAACAGCAGCAATCAGGAGTACAGAGATTGCCTTCACTAAGGAATGCATTCATGTGATGTTGTCATGATTTAGAACTGCATTGCTTAACTATGGAAATTTTGGTCCCAATTACTGTAGTTAATGGAGAACGATCTTTAGACCTCAACTGAGGCTGCCTTTGAAAGCTACTCAGGAACTGACATAAGTGCAAAACACTTATGGACCAGTGGTGGGTTTCCAAATTTTTTACTACCAGTTCACTTGCGCATGCGCAGAAGCATCTGAGCCAGTGGGTGGAGCCTCCCACCGCTGCTACTACTGGTTTGGCCGATCTGAGGTGAACCGGGAGCAACCCACCTCTACTGTGGATCCTTGGCTTGTGGCTGGCAAGCATAGGATACAGCAGTGATTTTGTGGCATGTCTTGGCTGCCAGTGAGTTTCCAGGTACTGTTCAAAATGCTGGTTTTAAATTGTAAACCCTTTTATGCTTTGGCTTCCTGGTGTTTTCAGAATCATCTCCTTCTGAAGGTTGGGAGGAGACTGAAGGTCGTGACTCCCCACTGCAATTCTATGACTTTAGAATCTCCCTCCCTCCCCCATCCTTCCGGTTTATAGTCTTATCAATTACACCTTCTTGATGACATTTAGATGTGGTAAAATGGTATCATTCCAGAAAACCTTTCAATTATAATGGCCGCCACTGGGACTGGGTGACTGTGAGTGTTATTTAACTTGTCTCATCTATTATAGTGATCGTTCTTTTGATGTAAACTAATGGTATATTCTGTTTTGTTGGAATAGATGGTACAGAGGAATTGGAATAATCATCAATACCAACATAATCATTTATCCACCTTGGGAATGAACAGAAGGCTTAGCTCCCTCCCTTCTCCCAAATGTTTCTTCAAACGCCTCTCTACTTTCAATACTTTCTGGAGTTCCTATTCATCCAATCTGCTGCTTCGGTGTAATGTTTTTTTTCCTTTTAGTTAAGGATTTCTCCTGTACAAAATGATTCCAGTCAAGCAGGAATCACAAACTGAATATGACAACATCAGAATATGCCCAGTTAACTAGGCCATATGATTGTATCACTGAAAGCAAATCTACTATAGCAGAAGAATCTCCTTGGTTGGTTATATTTAAAGCAATAAAGTTCAATTTAACTAAGCAAAGTCTATTCGGGGTGCAATGCATTCTAAGTTACAAGAGCTATTCTTTTTGTAGTGATCCATGAGCCATTCCATAAAAGATCTTGGAAAAGGAGTAACATCATTTGATAGAAATATTTATGAAATTTCATTTTCTTTTAATTTAAATCACGCTTTAACCTTGCAGACATAGGATGAACTAATTCTATTTGACACTTATCTTCATAATTCCCTATCATCTCCTGTGTATCTAAAGAGCTGAAGAAAGGTATATGACCAAAGTAGGGCTGGTGGGGCAAACCTCATAAGACTAAAATCTTTCAGACCAGGACTTGATGGGAGGAGGGATGGCATGTGAAGATACTGATGATGTGACCATATAAATATTCCTCAATTTATGATCATAACAAAGCCTGCCCATTATGGTTATAAGTCATCATGGTCTTAAAGTGAGTCACCAAGCGACCAGACCTAATTTTACAACCTTTTTTTAAAGTGGTCATTAAGTAAATGTGGTAGTCATTAAGTGAACTCATTGTTCACTCTGGGGCATTGTTGTTGAAAAAATGGAAGACTGGTTTTCTACAAAAACATAAATTGTGGTCACATAATCATGGGACACTGCAAAAGCCTGTAAATGGGAGCTGGTTACTAAACTTCCAAAATATGATCATGTGATTTCAGGAGATGGTGGTAGCTGTTGTAACTTCAGAATCAGATAGTAAGTACCTTTGGGGAAGGGGTCTCCATTGTAACTTTGAAACGTCATTAAGCGACCAATCATAAATCGAGGACTACGTATATATTGTATTCCTATGTCTTCCTAACAACCAACCAAAATGGTTTTAATTATTATAAAACAAGAATATAGGGAGAAATTCTCTGGAAGTTCAAAACTTCACAACCAAATAATCAAATTCCTCTACTCTCTCTTTGCTCACTATCCTTTGCTTACCTCTGAAAACATGGGCAGTTTTTTGGCAAAATCCACCACACGGGTGATGGCAGGGGTAATGATCTTCGTAAACTCACTGAATGCCTCCAGGTCTACTTTGTCTCCATCAGGCATGGAGGCCATTGGTGACTGACCAATATCTTCAGGCTACGAGTGGGAGAAAGAAGCAGAATTAAACGTCTGCAGAGAACTAACTCAGGAGACCCCATACAACAGGAAATTTATCATCCAGCCCTAACATTGGAAATATAACTCCTATCTATCGATAACTTTTCCTTCTCTCAACTTCTTTACAAGGTGATCTCTTTACGTTACTACAATTAATATCAAAATAATATCACCCTATTAAAATATTTTAATAACCATTATAATTATTATTTGAATGGTTTTTATTTAAAAATCTTTAAAATTATTAAAAACAATTTAAAAGACCAGTTTTAGCAGATATTATTCTGCTAATACGCTGTGCAAATGTAAGAGTTGCATTGCTGAAAATACAAATTTTGGTCCCTTGAGGCTGGGAAGATCAGAATCTGTGGTTCTACTCCAATGCACTAGTTTGAGAATGACACCCATCTGCCTTTGGCTGTTCTGGATCTGAATGCTTTTGAAAAAACAATATCAGCCTTAGAGAGCTTCCTCCTGTTTTCCAATGAAAATGTGGAAAGCTTTCCACACTTCATTTCCCAGGCATTTGGCATACTTGGGAAGACCATACTCAAATCATGTGCTGATAAAGCCCAGAAGTCTCCACCTCTCAGGTTTAAATTTCTTTCTTATACACAAGCAGTTTAAGAATAGGGCCTGATTAGTTTTGTTATATGAACTGAAGAGTAATGCTTTTTAGTCCATTTTTAGACTAAATTTTGGGAGTACTTCCTGTGTTCGGTAAGGAACTGCTGCATACTATAAAGGCTGCGGGAACAGACAGAGCAATCTTAACCCATGACCCCCTCAGTCTGCTGGCCTATTTCCTCTCCCCACCCCCAAGCCTCACTTTCTGTGACCTCCATGTCCTGACCTGCCCTGACATTAACTGATTATGGCCAGCAGAGGGCACCCCAAGCCAGCAATTCCTGCTCTGCTTAGAAATAGGGGAGGAGAGAGGGGTGGCATTGAGGGGTTTCCATTCCATCTGTCCTTGATCAGAGCTGAGAGGTCACAGCTGTGTCCATTTGCTCAAGCAAATTAACCCTTCAAAGGTACCTCTGCAGCACCAAATCTGCTAAATCAGTACGTTCTAACCTCAACAAATTTTAAGATGTGTAGATTTCAGCTTCTAGAATTATCCAGCCAGTAGGTGGCTGGGGAATTCTGGGAGTTGAAGACCATACACTTAAAATTTGCCATGGCTGATAAATACTATGCTAAATTATGGCAGTGAAAGTAATCTTAATAAAACATAGTTGAATTATCAGTTTTATCATCATGTTTACTCTGACTCTGAGCTTAGTATAATTGTTAACATTCAATATGCAAAAGTGTAAATAATGTTAAATGCATAAAATATTGGGGCTTTTTTTCAAGGCTGGGCATATGCTGTACTGAAATAAAATAAGTTTATAAAAAAAAAATTTTAGCCAGACAATTTATATACGAGCATGAATGAAAGAGAGATTTTAAAATTATACTGTATATTTCTGGTCTGAAATTTATTCAAATTCAAATTAATAATAAATGGAATGAGAAAAAGTTTAAAAGAGACACCATACAGCTAAATGCCTGTTTTGAAAAGGTGCTCACAATTTGGAATAGATCTATAGCATTAGGGTACATTCGTCTTCTGATTTTAGCACAGAACTTAAGATTTTTTGGGTGCAAAATGGTCCTTTTTAATGGCACAAAGTTCCGCTTTTGCCTACTTCATAGTAGCTTTCTTACTTTTACTCATAAATGGAGAGCTGCAAAAGAGCTAGCACAGGAGTGTCAAACTCAATTTCATTGAGGGCCGCATCAGGGTAGTGTTTAACCACCGCGGTGGGAATGGCCAGGGCGGCCAAATGCCGCCAACTGGATGCCACTCGTGTTGGGGGCACTTGTGGTGGCCCAAGCGCTCTGCCAGCAAAAACCAGCTACCAAACTCCATTTTCGGCTCCTGCAACCCTCTGCCAGTGAAAACGGAGCTCTGTTTTCAATGGCAGAAGCACTATGGGCCGGTCCTTTGCTATTTCTAGGGTGGCCCCATGGGACAAATCTAAGTACCCCACAGGCCAGATCAGGTGCCGGGGCCTTGAGTTTGATATCCCTGATCTAACATATAGCTGAAATGTGTACTTACCAAGTATCTTAATTAGTTTAAGCGGAATGTAAATATACTTTGTCCAGATGTATAATTCTAAGTACATAAACTCTAACTGTATATTTATGTCTTTTTCCAATGGTTAAGGAAGAAACCAAAGAAAAACAAGTTCCGAGGATCAGTTAGCTCTGGAATGATTTGTACAGTGTTCCTCAACAAGATGCATAGACTTCAGCTCCCAAGACTTCCCCAACCAGCATTCTGGGGGTTGAAATCCACACATCTTCAAGTTACCAAGAATGAGAAACATGTAAGTCCAATATCAGCACAAAACAGAGGCATGTGTCAAATTATATGTATATTTTTTGGTAACCACTTGATGCCCAGTAAATTAGGCATAAATTCACTTATAATGCTGGGCGTACTTTTATTTTATCAGAGCCTGGGGAAAGCCTGGGGTAAAGGGATCTATAGAAAGACAGGCTTTCAAAAGAAAAATAGGGGCGGACAATATTACAGACAGTCCTTGCTTAATGACTCTAATTGGGACTGAAAACTGTGGCTAAGTTAAGTGGTGGTTAAATGAAACATCATGTGAATGCACTGCTTAGTAGTGCAGTTCTAGCAGTCCCAGTTATGGTTGTTAGGTGAATCACCTGTGATTGTTTAATGAGACATCACGCAATTGCAACCTGCGACCTCTTGCTGGCTTCCCCATTGACATTTGCCAGTCAAAAGCTGGCTGAGAAGATTGCAAATGGCAATCATGTGAACTTGCAGAATGCTGCAACTGTTCTAAATGCCCGAATTGTGATTATGTGATTGCAGGGACCATGAGACGCCTCATAATTCATTTTTCCCAGTGCAGCTGTAATTCCCAACAGTCGCTAAATGAATATAATTAAGGAAGGACTATACGTAATCTAAACGAAAGAAGGGAAAGAAATACGTAAAAGTGTGTATTGTGTCAATTCTGACAAACAGAACAGTGCACCCTATTTGCCAGTACAATTTACCAGGAATTTCCGCTTCTGTTTCCAATGGCTGCCTTGGGCGTTGGTACTGCAGTGTGCATCCGTAGCGATGCGTATCAGCTCCCATTCCTCTGAGGTTGGCTCTGGCCGGTGCTGAAGGGATTTCATCATTTCCTCTTTGCGTCGTCTCTCCCGGTTCTCTTCAATCAGCTTCCGTTTGGCTACTCTCTTGGAGTCATCCAGCACCACTAGGAGGGTGGTGAAGAATGAAGAGGTATGAGAGGAGAGGGGACTTCACATAGAGCCAATCAGAATTCTGCAACCAATTTGGCCAATTCCAAGGTGCCAAAGGGAACTACGAATAGCCATCTGATAGGATGGTTTAATTAACACCTTAGGGAACACTAGGACGCTATTCCAGGGACTCAAAATGTAGGGATTCAAAGATTATCCCTATGTAATTTTACACACCAAACAATTATTTCCCTCTTTTGATCCTTCAACGTGCTTGGGCACATTTCTTCTCCTCTGCTCCCTGTAACCACTCCCATCCCCATCGCCTCAACTCCCCCACCCCA